TGTGTGCCCTGAGGTGAAGGGGGGGTGTTCCCTGAAGTGTGGGGTGCCCTGAGGAGAAGGGGAGGGTTGCTCCCTGAGGTGTGGGGTGCCCTGAGGAGAAAGAGGGATGCTCCTCGAGGTGTGGGGTGCCCTGAGGTGAAGGGGGGACGCTCCCTGAGGTGTGTGGGTACCCTGAGGTGAAAGGGGGGGTGCTCCCTGAGGCGTGGGGTGCCCTGAGGAGAAGGGGGATGCTCCCCGAGGTGTGAGGTGCCCTGAGGAGAAAGGGGGGGTGCTCCCTGAGGTGGAGGGGTGGAGAGGTACTCCCTGAGGTGTAAGGGGGGGTTCTCCGAGGTATGGGGATGCCTGAGGCAGAGTCCCCGAGCTGATGGAAGGAGGGTCCCTGAAGGCAAGGGGTTTTGAGCACCTTCTCTTGGGCTGGTAGGAAGATGAGAGGGTGAGGTCCCCTTTGCATGGGGGCAGGGGTCTGCGCCCCTCTTCTGCCAGTATTGGAGAGTCAAGGGGGGGGTTCCCTTGCCCTGAGAGGCTGCTTCTGTGCCCACAGAGGTGCTGGGTGCAAACTAAAGCTGGGAGTTGCAGCATAGATAACACCCAGAGAAATTGGCTTTAAGCTTGGGTAACTGATGAGGCGGGAGCAGCTGAGGTGCCCTCTTCTCTCCTGCGGTGTCTCTTAATGGGGTGGGGGATGAGCATGGATAAAATGTACGGTGTATTCCGAAAAGTGGTGAAATGTTCCCTCCCCATCACATCCTTCCTTCAGCTAAGTCTGTTTTTCCTGTTTGCTGATAGTTGGCTTTTGGTTTACTGGGCAACTGTCCCACGTTTTAATTTTGGAGAGCATTACAAGCAAGGTTAAGTGAGGAAGTCTAGGCTCTGCATGAGGGTTTAGCAATCGGTGTCAACCTAAGCCTGTGCCCTTTCCCCTCTTGCATGCAGTGACTTCTATTGTACAGGAGCTTAAGCAGTAGTGGTGGAGGGGGGAATAATTACTTGGCAACGGCATGCTGTTCTTTAGAAATACTGTAAGATGTGAGTCGGCACTTGAAGTTTTGGTTCACTGCCTCGGTGCAGTCGGCGTTATTAAGAAGTAGGCACACGATCCGAGTTACTTGAGCTACGTGTTACCAGGTGTGAAAATGAAGAGTTACTAGAGAAAAATCAATAGATGTCAACTTGAAATGAAGATGTAACTGTTCCTCAGATAAACATGATTTACCAGACATCCACTTAGGGGCAAAGGGAGGGAATGGCGATGACTCTTGGCTACCGGAGCTGTACAAGTATTGACCCTAATTTGAGAGCAAGTACTTATTCTAAAATGTGGGCCTGTTCTATGTTAATGAACATAAACATGAGCACTGCTTTGGATGAACTTTACAGAGAGCAGTGGATCGCTCGGGAGATTAAGTATGGCATTCTCCCTGCTGAATTTTTGGTTTTATTCTTTCCCAGGCTTGTGCAAGAACCAAGTGAATGCTGCAGGGAGAAGCCTCAGTTATTAGTCATTTGACTTCATTTGTGAAAGTGAGACCAAAACACAGTCTTTTTTCTAGGAGCAGAAACTTTTGTAGGAGTTTGTAGGAGCAGAAACTGAATCATCAATTATGGGATGTTCCAGTCGAGTAAATATTTAGTTTAAGCCACGCAGGATGCTTGTATGGGTGCTGAAGAAATGTTAATTGTAAGAAGTGTAAGGCTATGACAAAGTCTGAGGTATTGTTTTGCTGCGTGCTCTGCAAATATAAGGACCATGTGCTGAGGTATCTGTATGCTGTGTCAGTGCTTGCTATCAAATCAAGAAGTTCTGAAACTACAGTCGGATACACTGATAGCAAATCATCCTCTTTCACTGTATTATCTGAGCTTAAAAGTCTGTTACTGAATTGCAAGATACCTTACCTTGAAGGGGCTATCACCCTGGAGATGTTTTACTGCAGAATCATGAAAAAGAATGGAAAAGTCATTCCAGTCTATTTTACCACTTCTGCAACGCAGAAATCTGGCTGATCCGAGTGTGGTGCTACGTAACGCAAGGTAATTGTTTTCTACCTGCCAGCACAGAAATCAACTTGGTGATTTGTTTTAGTAGGCAATTTTCTCTAGAACACCCAGTGCTGCGTTTTTTGACTATAAGGATGAGAGTAAGATGGTCTGAGTCATGGCTATAAATCTCTCTAAAGAACAAATTCTCAAATGTGAACTTAAGGTGAGTGCTTTTAATGACTAAGGTGACTTTTTAACGACTGAAGTGTTGAAGGTGTAATTTGGGTTTAGTCTAGATTTAATTGTGCCAGTGAAATTCATGTTGGTTAGAAAACAAAGCTCCTTCTACTGACACATTTGCAGGAGTGAAAAGTCATGTTCAAAACCTTTTGCCAGTATGACCGCACTTGTGTCAGACTAATCTTTAATTTGTTCATTGGTGGCAGGATGACCTTTTGCTGTTGTATTCTACGCTTTACATGGGAGAAACAGAGGATGTGGCTGTAAAGAAATGCATCTGGTTAAGTATAAAATTCCAATTTGTATCCCTAAGTAATTGTGCCAGGGTGTCGTTTTCTTTTGCTGGAAGAGTGAGTCTAACAGAACTGAAAATGTGTCGTGAAATAATTACACTTTAAAAGCAGAGATTCTTTAGCATTATCTCTTCCTAGCTGCTCAATGCAAGAAAGCCAGGAGCGTCATGATAACTTACTGATTTCTAAACGCTCAAAACAAACTTTTTAGTCCTGTCGTTATAAGCAGTTCAAAGCAATGGGGGGTGGGGGACCCAAACCTTTCAGACTCTTATATTCTAGATGGAAGGGATTGGACAAAAAATGCAGTCTTAACCTAGAGAGCCGGTCATGCTGCAGTCAAATGATTTGTTGAATGTTACTGTGCTAAGTGCTGACCAAAACAGATGTCATGTGTGGTTGTCTAGAGACAGGAAAGCACATCTTCGTGGACTCCAGGACCAGTGCCTCCAGCGCTTCAAACTTTTCCTTCATGCTGAAACTGATAGGCTTTTGCTGTCAATTCCAACATTAGAGAGACTGAAGCTCTTGATGAACTGTGAGATAGTGTTTGAAGACCTGCAAGCTTGAACTTGAACTGTATGTATTGTTGTACAAACAGCTGTACTGGTGCACAGTTTGTAGTGAGTGATTAGGAAGTTGTAAGGAAGAAAAAGAACCCACGCTTTTTCTTAAACAAAAGATTTCCAGTCAGTCTGTGGTTCAGGCATTCAGTCAGAACCATGTCCATAGACTGAAGTGTCTCTCTTGGTTAGATGGCTAACCAGGGCATGAGTAAACTATAGGTATAATTGGTTTTGGCTTTGGGTGGAGCAGAGGAGGATCCCTCAGAACTAATGGCTAGAACCATTTTAGAAAATGACAAAAATGTCCCCTACTACTTTATTGTGGTAAAGACAGATGACGGAAGAAAAGTGAACAAAACCCAACGTGGATTCCGGTGTAGCAGGTGAGTACTAAGTCATACGTGTAACAGCTTAGAGCTTCTGTGACTTGGCTGACTGTAAAGTATTTCAACAGCTCGTTCCCAACAGCTCATTCCCAAGTGGTTTGACTGTACACCAACCGCAGGGAAAACGCTCATCAGCCGGTTGCTTCTCTGCCACCGGTACTTGCCAGTTGTAAGCTAAAAAGTTTGGTCTGCTCATGTTGCTAATTTCCACTGGCCTGACTGATCATCTTCTTCTGATCATCTATGGCTTACTTCCAAATTATAGGGGGAAAACAATACGTGATGTTTAGGCTGTGCATAAGGCAGTCCTATAATGGGACCACAGATCACCTCCATCTATATCTGCTTTTTTCCCCAGGAAACTGTTCAACTCTTGGACCCTTATCATTGATACCTTGATGTAAGCAATTTTCTGCTCACTGGAGGTAGCCTGGGTAACAGGGGGGAAAAGCTAGATATTACAGGTACTAGGGGTTACACTGTACAGAGCTGTACAGAGTTAGGTCTTTTCCATCAGAAGTTTTAGTTCCAGTTCAGTGTCGGTCAATCATGTTTCAGTATGCCCTGTGTAGTGATGTCCAAGGTGGGTTTCCAACTCAAAGACTTTGGATGTGTTGCGTGGGAGGGTGCATGTGAGGGAGTTAGATATGCTCTGGTGAATAAGGACACGGTGCACAGCTGTGAAGGAGCTGTACAGAGTTAGGTCTTTTCCATCAGAAGTTTTAGTTCCAGTTCAGTGTCGGTCAATCATGTTTCAGTATGCCCTGTGTAGTGATGTCCAAGGTGGGTTTCCAACTCAAAGACTTTGGATGTGTTGCGTGGGAGGGTGCATGTGAGGGAGTTAGATATGCTCTGGTGAATAAGGACACGGTGCACAGCTGTGAATAGTGTTGGACCAAAGTCCAGGTCGCCCAGTATCTTCTGTATCTTTCAGTTCACAGACATCTCTTGTCCGATGGTGAAAGTTTCTGTGGAAAGGAGCAGCGATGAGCTTTTGGCCACAGATGTCAGAAGTAGGTGTTTAGGGCAGAGCAAAACAGAGCAAACATTTCATGAAACTTCCCAAGGACACTCTGTAGCCTCCATTCACTTTCAAACTGGGATTCATGAAGAACCAGTTGGAGTTTGGATTTCTAGGAGCCCGAGAGCAACGCTTAGCAAATGTGACTCCTGTGGCTTCTGTACTAGCTTAACTCTGGGAGCAGTTTAGCTCACATAGTGTGGGACAGAGGTTTGAGATGATAAGGG